TTCATAAATGTAGTTTTGTAAGTATTCACCGAAGAGTGTGATTCATAAATGAAAATTTGTATGTATTGATGTCGTGTTTATAGACGTCAACGTTCGATACTCTTTCTAAGAGAGTAATAATGTTCATTTTTTGGTTGAAGGCCCAACCCGTCCCAACCTGTGGCCCGCTTAGGACTGAATTAAGCTGCTATTTTATAAGTTCTTTAATTAAAAGGGTCAGCCCGTCCCAACCCATTTAACTCTATAGCCCATTAAGATTTGATTGAATTGGGTTGGGCCAACCCATTTTAACAACTCTAATCATTACTTATCATTATACATATATCCAATTACATACTCCATATAATATTGTTATATAAATACATGTGCAGGCAGAAATTGAAAGCTTCTGTTTGAAATTTACCTGAAGCAGTTCGTAAGCCGCGATGACAAAACCCTTCGCCCTTTTCTTCTTTTCCTTTTTATTTCTTTTCTGAATTAATTATGTACTAAAAGTGATAACTTATTTTATTAAATATAAGCTCAATGGTGTAGGGACTTAAATAAATTATCACTTTAGCCTATTAACTATCGATTAAGTCATTTATCTATAATTACCCATCAATTAATTAACTCATGTTAAACGAATAGTTCAAAATTTCCAAAAATGACCTCCCGGATCATTACATACTAGTTTATGCTACACTATGTTTGGATGGTTGTTACTTATTGTTTCATAATGTATCGTATTGTATTGTATCCTACTGTATTGTTCTAATGAATACAGTGTTTTGATAGATTGTATCATTCTCCACCGTTACATAATGTCACATATCTAGAATTTGAATGATAAACCTACAAGAAAAATAGTGTACGAGATAGAATTATTATGAAAAAGGTAAGGTAACGATAAAATAGAAATATTAAATAATAACAGAAAATATTAAGGTAACAACGCGATCACACCAAATCGATCGTTACATAAAATCAGTCTTTTCCTTGTTATCTAACAATGAATTTTAAACGAAACGATATGATACAATATAATTAAAACATAATTAAAACAAACATTGTATTTAAACTAACAATACAATACTATAAATAACAACATCCAAACAAGGTGTAAAACAGTGAAAAATTTCATAAAATATTTCGAGAAACATCCTTATTTATTTCATCCCGCCTACAGAACTACCCCTTTGTAGTTTACTTGCCCCAACAAAACGATACTAACAATACAATACTATGGGTAACAACCCTCTAAACAACTACGGGTAACAACCATCCAAACAAAGTGTAAGACAGTGAAAAATCTCATAAAATATTTTGAGAAACATCCTTATTTATCTCATTTCGCCTACAAATAAGGTGTAAGACAGTGAAAAATCTCATAAAATATTTCGAGAAACATCCTTATTTATCTCATTCTGCCTATAGAATTACCTCTTTATATTTTACTTGCCCCAAACAAAACGACAAATTTTGTAACCAACCCCCCCCCCCCCTCACCAACAACCCCCAAACAATAACTCTCCTATTTTCCCCAATTTTTCATTTTTCCTTCTCAAACCACCCCCCTCCCCCCAAAAAAAAAAAACCCCACCCCCCCTAATGTGGGGACAGTACAATCAAAGCCAACCCTAACCCAGAAAACTCTCTCCTCATCTCTCCTCTAAATCTTTCAACTTAACTCTTTTCAAAATTAATTTTTTGTTTCACTTTAACTCTCTTTCTTGTTTCTCTTTTTCTTGAAAAAAAGAGAGGAAATTTTGGTTTTTTTTTTTTTAGGGGAAATGGAGGTGAAAAGTTTCAGCTCTGATGTAGCAGCTTTTGGGAAAATAGGGGTGAACTCTGTTCTTGAAGCTGTTGTTGCTGAGACCCTTTTGGTTACTCAGAGATCTGTTGCTTCTCTGCTCATGGTGGTATAAATAAAACACTTTTCCCCTTTTGTTTTCTTGTAAAATTTTGATTTTTATGTTGTGGGGGTTTAGTTTTCTTGCTCTTTTTTTGCTTCTGTTGTGTGTGGTTTTGTATTTGAGTCCCACCCCACTGACCAAAATATGTTTTGTTATTTGGGGTTAGTTTTTTTTGTTCTTTATTGAGTAATTGAGGTTTTATAGTTGATAATTTAGCTGTTTCATTTGAATTTCTAGTTTTCTGTGTTTGATATTGTGTTCTTGAAGTTGTGTATATGGACTGTGTTCTTTTTTTAAGTAACTGTTTACTGGAGAATTCAGTTTGTTTCTTCATTGTTAATGTTTGTTATGCTACTGTGTTATTCTTCATTGTTTTTAGCATGAATTCTTTGTTACTGTATTTGCTTTACTTGTCTTTTTCTGTTGATATGTTTTACATGAGGGGAGGATCTATTACAAATAGTGGCTCTACCTTCACGAGGTAGTAATGATTAGGTTATTACACTGTGGTTTTTCAGACCTTTACCTTCTAGAGTTAGTTAATTAGTTTTAGAAAACTTTTACTTATACACTTAGTATAGTCAGATCTTGTCGAGGGTCTATTGGAAGCCGTCTCTCTACCTCCAAGGTGCAAGGGTAAGGTCTGTGTACCGTTTACCCTTCACAGACCTTACAATGTGGGATTACACTAGGTATGTTGTTGTTGTACTTAATCGTCAGAACTTGTAACCTGTTTGACTCAGTGTTGTGAAAGGCGGTCGCCAATGGCGAGAGGCGAAGCGACCCTTCATCGCCTATTAAGCTTTGTGGCACTGCCATCTTCAAAAGGCGACAAAGGCGTGGCCTTTTTATTTTCTTAAAAAAAGAAGGTGACCAATTTAGGATTTCTAAAGTTAAAAAGGTAATTTTAGGGTTGTCTTTCCAAATTTTCACAATTGCACTTTTAGACTGCGATTGTGACTCCAACCAGTCCACTTGACTAGACTTCTTCGGTGACTCCAAAGTCCAACCAGTACATATTTCTTCTTCCTTTGTTTCTTTTTCCTTCTTCAGACTTCTGAGTTATTTCTATCTCTGTTTTGACTTTTGTTATGTTTTTTTACTCATTCAAGTTCTAGATTTTTAGTATCTACAATCTATTTTCAGTTGAACTGAAATATTGTTAATATGTTATTGCTATTGAGATTTTGATTATTTATATATGCAGTTAAATATTTTAACTTTTTTGTTTATTTGGTGCTGGCCGCACTTCAAAAAGGCGAGCGCCTTGCAGCTCATCTCGCCTTGTGGCAAGGGCAGACCTTTCTCGCCTTTCGCGTCCAAAACATTTGTCTGACTCTTGCTATCAAAAGACCAACCTGTAAAACCATAATTTATTCGAATACATGAATGTTGAAACTGTTTCATTAACAAAGCTTTTACTTGTATTTCATTTAGTACACTAATAAATGTTTCAAACATAAAGTAACCTATTCCTAAACCAGCATTGAATGTCAATGCCAAATTCAAGTAATTGTAACTACTCTCCCCTCTTGTTATGTGAATCTTCTGTATTTAAGCCCCATTGGGAAAAGTTCTCTTCACTAGTTCTATTAGTGAAAATGGTATTGAGATACGCCATGTCCCTCCACATATTCTTCTCCTTCATGATGACATGTATGGTCATGTCAGTACAAGGAGAGCTTACGAAAGTTCCATTAAGGCCTTATCTTAGAGGTAATCCAGGGCTATTTCCACAAGCGATTGCACCTCGTCATGATATTTCAGTGGTCAAAAGAGTAGAGGATTGTGAAGGACAGGTACGTAAAGCTATTAACAAAGGGCTAACCCATGTTGAAACCTGTGAACCCTGCTTATTGTGAGGCTGTTAATGTTACAAAAACTTCTAACCTTACAATGTTTGGAGATGAAAATTTGAACGTGGGTTGTGTTTGATTTGTAATTGACTACTGCAAATGTTCAGTAGCGTCTCTCCCTGTCCCCCATCTCCCTAAACCATTAGTGGGAGTTACCTAGTGGGGAGGATGCAGGTACAATACGTCGAGGTGCAAGTAAGCTGCCCCAAACACTACAGTTATTAAAAAAAAGAGAAGGTCTAGTAGCGTCTCAAAGCTGATTTACATTATTCACATCTTAGCCATACAAAGCCTCTTGAGATGAAATCATCTCCTTGTCAACGTAGTATATAGGTGTTTTGTATTTTCTTTTTCCTATAATTCAGACACCTCTGTGTGGTATTCTCTAATAAACGTTCTCTGTTCTACTTCCCTATAATTCATACACCGCTGTTTGTTATGCTCAGATTTAAGGATTATAATTGTAGAAGTTGGTTGAAACAATGGTTTTAACCTACCTTATCAAAAAGAGAGTTGAAGAAACGAGAGTTCTTTGAAGTATATATCATGGTGTTTAGGAAGATTATGGAAGAAGTAGCATAGAAAATGTTTGTGGAAGAATTGTTGCTCATATATTTGAAAATATGCACAGATCAGACTAACATTTTGAACATCGATATGTGCTGTCAAAATATGGTTTTCTAGTTCAATTTTCTGCTATTTTTGGCATTTTTTACTGGATCTTGTTGTTCTACTGGTCATAATTATTCTGGCTTGGTACTGTTTCTTTGAACAGAGTTTCATGTTTGATTGTGATGAGTCATCTTCTTTCCTTGACATTTGTCACTGCTGTAAATGCTAATGCTAAAGAATTTTTATGTATGTAGGCATTTCGTATGCTTAGTGCCTTCTTGAAGCATAGTTGTATCTGTGTATTTGTACTCACAAGCCTTGAAGATTTAATTTACTTTTGGCTTTTACCTTGAATTCTGGCCGTTCTGCCTCGTTAAACATAACTGCATTTGTTTCATTCAATACTGTGAAACTTCCTGTTCACTTCTACATGTCATTAAGCTTACGGTGCACTGATTGAGGACTTGATGTTCCTCAAATTTTTGCCTAAATCCCCTTACGGAAGTTTTTGGATTTCAGGTGGGATGTTTGCTGAAGGATGGTGCTCCATTGTCAGAGTTGGCAACCATTGCTCCATCGTCAGAGTTTGTAAGCATTGCTCCATTGTCGGAGTTGATAAGCCCCGATAGAAGGTAATATTCGTCTCACCTGCATTCTTGGTATCACTGAACTGGAAGTTCCATGTTACAAGCTTCAACAAGTCTAATGAAGTCAATTTTAGGTTTCCCTTTGAGGCGCTTAGTCAAAAGAACCAAGCTTGTACCCAGAATAAAGATGGCAGTGATACAGAGGATGATAATGATGACGATGGAGATGCTGAGGATCAGGATGATGACGATGATGCAAATGATGAAGATTTCTCAGGTGAAGAAGGGGGAGATGACGAAGAAGAAGAAGGAGATCCTGAGGAGGATCCTGCAGCTAATGGCAACGAAGGGAGTGATGACGATGATGAGGATGATGAGGATGGTGATGAAGGGGGTGATGACGACGACGATGATGATGATGGTGATGAGGAAGAGGAAGAAGACGAGGAGGAAGACGAGGATCAACCACCTGCCAAAAAGAGAAAGTGAAGTGTTTGTTAGATGTTTATATTCTGCTTCTCTATCATGGTTGAGGAGAGTATGTAGTGGAAAGAGAAGGGGAGGTTTAGCTTTTCTGTCTCTGACAGTGTAGGAAATTAACCATCCTTGTTCAGAACAAATGAAGTGTTGGATTGTTACTTATGCTACATGTTACATTTAATTGGACTAATATTCTGCATACTTGGTTAAATATCTGTCAGTCTATCGGAAACCACCTCTCTTTCGTACATCTTACCTTTCCCACATCTCACTTGTGGGATTTTTCGAAAACGACCTCTCTATCTGACAAAGATAGAGGTAAGATTTGCATATATTTTACCTTTTTTAGATCTTACTTGTGGGATTATATTGGGTATGTTGTTGGTACCTTTTTTCGATCTCATTTGTGGGATTACACTGGGTATGTTGTTGTTGGTAAGGTATCTATCAATCTATTGGAAACAACCTCTCTATGTCACAAAGGTAGAGGTGAGGTTTGCATACACTTTATCCTCCTTCGGATCTCATCTGCGGAATACCTTTTTTAGATCTCACTTATGGGATTACATTGGGTATGTTGTTGTACCGTATTGAGTAGGGATTTGAATACTTCCATTTTAGAAGCGGTAGCTTACTGCCTCCCTCGGAGTGAGTAGTTTCCTTCCCTTTTTAAGAATGTTTTAAGTAATCTGCTTAGCAAATTATGAATCTCTCAATGTTTGGAGGTGGAGTGGAGGTACATGGTCCAAATGGAAATTCAATCAATTAAATACCTCAAAAAACTATACTATATATGCAAATGTGATGAAAATAAATTATTTTTTCTAAGTATATAAATTATTGAATTCGCTTAAAAGACGAGAAGCTTCTAGTTTAGTGGCAAGTGGATTCAATATCCTATTATATATACAAAATAAAATTTTAATCCTAGATCCACTCAGAGGGTATGAAACTAAAAAAAAAAAAATGAAAATTATGACAGACAAAAAATAGTGGAAGTATAGATAGTTCAAATCACTTTGATAGGTAGGTTTAGTCGTTGTAGGAAATAAACTTTATTGAATTTTCTATTATAATAAAAATAAAATGTGTATATTAAAACTATTAATGAATGACGTAAGTATATATAGTCAATGAATTAATTAATCTCAATATCTTCGATATAAAGTATAGTAAGGGGAAACAATTGAAGTTAAAATTTTAAAAATGAAATAAATTCAAATAATAAAAAATTTAATGTTGAACCGGTCAAATTTAACGGAAAGATATTGAATTATTAAAAGTTGAATATTTGATGTTTGATGATCAGGCAAAGTCAAAGCAACTAGTTGTATCATACATTAACCTTGCTGGCACTTCTATAGTCAAAAAATAAGTTGGAGAGTTACGAAAAATATCTATATTTTGAATGGACGAGAATATCTAATTTTACTTTAAAAATCAAAATTGGTTTATTTATCCTTGTTTTGGAGTTGCCGTTAATATGAAAGATATTTTTGAGCTATCTGACTAGTTGTAGGGCAATTTTGAAACATAACGGAAGGTAAAGTTAAACCTATTTCGAATAATTGAGAAATATTTTTTTGACCCTTTCTCTTTCATTTTTTAAAAACTAATATTGCCACTACACTTAACCCTTACAATTGAGTAGTACTTAAATCAAAAGTTTAACATGAACTTACCTTAATCTAACTCCACAATTTTCTGTATCCTCATGTATTATAAACTATAGCATTGACTTTTAAGTTGCATATTAAATTCCATTTGAGGAATCAATAAAATAAAAGAATATCAAAAGGAAACTTTCTCTACAAGCTCAATTTTACAGCAAAACACACACACAAAAAAAACAGCTTTAAAATGGCCATTTCAAGTTCCAATATTCTACACTAGATTCAACATAACCGAGAGTCCATTAGAAACAGTCTTTATATACCGTAAAGGTAGAGGTAAGACTTGCATACATCCTACCCTCCTTAGACTCCACTCGTGGAATTACGATACAAAATGTCAAAGAGCAAAAAGAAGATCATAGCATTTTCTGCAAATGTAGTGTTTTCTAATGAAGAACTATTGACAGAGATCCTCCTTCATCTCCCTGTAAAATCACTCGTTCGTTGCAAATGTGTATCGCGAAAATGGCTTTGTTTAATCTCTAGCCCTCACTTTACGCGCCTCAGAGTCCCCTGTTTTCGCCCTGCTAGTGGCGTTTTTTTGTACCATTGTTCATTTTTAACCAACCCTTATCACAAGTTTGTGTCATTTAGCCTGGAAAATCCAATTCCAACACCATTACAACAGTTTCCTTTTCTACAACATTATCATCACAATCCTAAAATCATGATATCGCAATCTTGCAATGGACTTTTGCTCTGTCATACAGTTCATAATCCGTTCACGTTTGATGAAAACTACTACATATTCAACCCGACTACTCAACAATTCGTCACACTTCCTAGACCATTATCAGGAGATGTTATCGGAATGAGTTTAGCCTTTGATCCATGGAAATCATCTCATTACAAAGTTATCTCCCTCCAAATTTCTAAACTTGAACCTGCAAATCACCTGATTGAGATTTACTCACCTGAACATAAGAAATGGAGAGTTTCTGGACAAACTTTTCCTAGACATTACGATATATGTTTCAAAAACGGACTAGTTTACTGGAATGGAGCCATTTATGTGTCATGTATCAAACGTTTCAACGTAGAACAAGAAAAGTTTGAAGAGGTTGCCATACCTGAAGTCCAAGATCATGAAGAGGATGATTACAGGATCGTCTACTTCGGGGAGTCTTATGGCCATTTGCACCTCATACAAGTGAATCGCCAGAACTTAGCTTTGTACAATGTCTACGAGATGAAACATGATGGTACAGGGTGGTTCTTGAAGTACGAGGTGAATGTTGAAGATGTTGTGTTGGCATTTCCTCATATAATTCGAGGTTTTCTCGAGACAACAGATTTTCATTATTATGGCATGGCTGTGCTAGATGTTGTAAGAGGAGATAAAGAAGAGGATTCATTCTTGATTTTGCATATTCCTGGAATGGTTATACTACGTTACAACTTGGTGGATAAGTCATTCTACAAGCTCTGGGATTTTGACAATGGAGTTCATGATGCATTTGCTTGGTGTCTGCATTTTGATAGATCAAACACTTACCAGTACATTGAATCTACCTATTGTTGGTAAGTACACAAGCACCTCACGCTGTTTGGATGATTGTTAGTTTAAATATAATGTTTGGTTTGATTGTTACTTAAATTTTATGATATGTTGCATCAATAATTTATTTTAAATCTTGTCAAAAAATCTATAGCGTAATGATCAAAGTAACCAGAACTAACAAAGCTAACATTGAAAGATGACAAATCAGCCAACAACATACCCAATATAATCCCACAAGTGGGGTCTGGGGAGGGTAGAGTGTACGAAGACCTTACCTCTACCGCATAGAGATAGAGAGGTTGCTTCTGATAGACCATCGGTTTCAAATAAAGCATTTCCAAACAGATAGGTGAGAAACATAAAGTCCAAATTAAGCTTCATACTCCATTTCCACAAATAGAAGTTGATGTTCAAAATAGTACTCCAAAAATAAAATAAGAAACTAATATTCGAGAGGTTTAGTGAAACTCTTATCAGCAGGAGGGTAAGTGATTAGGAAACCACAATATTATTTCATGTCTGTCAAGTCTTCTCAAACATATGCCAGATGGTAAGCCTTAAACTGCAAAATATTGAGGCAATGAACACTTCAAGCCTTCGAGATATGGTACCATCTAGAAGGTAAACCTGCAGTGTAATAGAAATGTAGCGGGTTATAGTCACCTAAATTGACATCACCACAAGAAATCAAGTGATATGAATTGATGCCCGACATAATGTCGTGGTGTTCAGATTTCACTTTGTTCACAAAACATGGAAAGCGCCAAAGAAAATGCAGGAAATCCAGTACAATTGGAGAAACTAATCATGCTGAACGTTAAAATATCAGAACACTTTGTACAATTGCAATTTCCATAGGTTTTTGTAAAACCATTGGCAATTGAGAAGTGCATCGCAAGCCTGTTACTATCATTTTACCATATTGCACAAACAAAACCTCCAAGAGCTAAATCACAAGTAATCGCTAGCACTCTATAATGTTCACTCATATATCAAAATTTGTCCTTGAACTAATCCAAATTGAGGCATTTTTGAGTCACGACATAACGGAGGGTAATGCTAACCTGTTTCAAATAGATCAGGTATGTTTTTGGCTCTTTTCCCTCTTTTCATTTCAATTCTAATATTGCCACTACACTTGCCCTTATAATTGAGAGGGTATTAAACCAAATTATAGAATGAACTAGGCTTAATCAACTCCACAGTTTTTTAATCATCATGTATTAAACTATTGCAATGACTTTTCAGTTGCATATCAAATTGCATTTAAGGAATCAAATAAAAATCCAACAGCCAAAAAAGAGGAAACTTTCTCTGCAAGATCAATCTTTTGCAGAAAAAAATTGAGCTTTAAAATGGCCATTTCGATTCCAAAATACTACAACAGATACACAATGCCAAAGAGCAAAAAGAAGATCATTACCTTTTTTGCAAATGTAATGTTTTCTATTGAAGGACTATTGACAGAGATTTTCCTTCATCTGCCTGTACAATCACTTAGCCAATGCAAATGTATATAAAAAGAAATGGTGCTCATTAATTTATAACTCTCACTTCACGCGTGTCAGAATTCCCTATTTTAGCCCGGCAAGTAGCATCGTTTTGTAACATTATTCATATTTAACCAACCCTTTTTAGACTTTTTGAGCTCATTACACAGTTGTAATGAAGCTCTCTATGTAGTCCCAGCTTTTTTTCTCCTTCGATAGAGTTGGATTGGAAGAGTCAGCCTGCGGGGTAAGCCTTTTCATGTGTGCGCATTATTGTTGATTAGTCTGTTTTTTCTGGAGTAAGAAATCCAATAGGGATTCCAAATCTACCATAACATAAGGAGAGGAGGTAGAGCAATAGCTTGGGTTGACCCTCTTAATGAAGATCGATCTGGCAGAGGAGAAGTAGATCCATTCAATAATGCGTGCGCAGTTTTCTACTCTTTTATATAATAACTTTACCAATGAAATACTTCCTAACACTAATCATAGACAAACTTTACGAATTTCATTCCATCTGCCAATTTATCAAGCATAACATCAGATCAT